GGTCGGAAATGACCCATTTGGCGGGTGCTCGATCTTTGTCCAGCATCGTCCGATCTCTGATATTGTAACTTTTTCTTGCTTCTCACGTGCATTAGACATCACATCTGCGGAGGGGCGGATGTGGTACTAAATCATGCGGAGAGGGAGGAGGCCAAAGTTTCGGCCAACTCGCAAAACCATGGATCGAGTGCCCGGTCGTTGTACCGGCCGTCCATGCTGCCACCGGTACGTGATAATACTTACCAATAGTGTTAGAGTTGCTTTGCTTTTGTTCCGACCGATTCCACTTGATAGAAGCCGACTTAGCGAATCGTGCAAATGGTCTTCTTGACGCTCCTCGTGTGACCACCACTGCCGTGATACAACTAGTTGCGAGGTTTTAAAAGTGTTGTCAGATAATTTACATTTGAATCATAGCCGTTAGTGGCCATTGGTACTTGCGTATCTTGTAGTGGGATGAGACTTGCTTTAAGTGACTCGACCGCGGCTTTGGGGTGCATGAACGCCTCAAGATCCCATCCCCATCCATGTTTATCAGTATTGTATCGTTTTCTGTGATTAGTGGGCCTAGTCCATAGCACTGGCTGGTGGCAGAAACTTGACTGCGCTGAATTCCTCTTCGCGCTTGAGTCTGTCTCTTCAAGCTGATCTACCTCAAACAGATCGTGCTTCAGACCAGGTATATGACATGTAACCGATAGTAGCATCAATTTTAGTTACGTGGCTATCCAGGATGAGGCATGAAACCAATGCTGTACCCCTAGAATCATGTTTCTTCGGCGAGCTAGTTTTGCTGAACCAACTCCGTCTGTCTACGCTAGCTAAATCGTCTAAAACCGTACCCATATGGAATAGATAAAATTACATACATAAAATAAACAATAAAACACAAGAGCATCGGACTAAACACCCTTCAAGCCTTTGATGCGGGCGGTGTCCAGCAGCGGGCGGCATCAGCGAGCCACTTGAACCGCACATGCTCGGCAATCAGGAGCGACAAGGGAGGTACGGCTTGAGATCTAGAAGGTTGACCAACGTTGGGCGGAGGTGGATCGGTAGGGACCCACGGCCACGGGTTAGACGTGGCCTGCAAGTCTTCTGCTGACACGCCGAGCCGTGCAATCCTCTCGGCCATCCACAAGGCGAGCCAACCACAAGTCCAAGGAGGTTCCTCCGTCTGGCCAGGCCCTTGGTGCCCGTAGATAGAACCCGGCTCGGGAACAAAGCTCCATTCAGTCGAGTCCGGCAAGAACGATTTAACAATTTCGACAAGGTCGAGAGCCGGTTTCTTCAGTCCCTCGAAAATGCGGATGGTGAAGGTTTTCCGATGCAGCACAACGAGGAACCAGTGCTGCTCTCGATTCGCTGGAAAGATGACAAGGCCATCTTCCGATACAGCGACTGTGTCAGACAATGAATCGTTGCACTCCGAGAACCTGATTTCTCGGTTGGAGTGACCTCGCAGTGATCTGTCCATGTCAGCAGTCCCGTTGGCGTCGAAGGTCTGCTGCTTAGGCAATCGATTACCTCATGCTGTGAGTCACCGCTCTCCGCAATCAAGCAACCGCGGTCCAACCTTAACACACACACACACACACACATCATACCCAAAAGGTGACTTTGACCCCGTTTTGCGAGGTAATGTTTGCTTGTTGCAGGCGCCCGAAGCAAAAGTCAAGCGCTTCAGCGGACATCCACTCAGAGCCCTTGTCGACGAAGGGCTTCAAGACTTGTCTCGCTGGCAGATGCTCGGACGAATCTATCCCAGGCGAATTGAGCTTGATCGGGATTCTCCTGTCATAGAGCTGAAGGAACTCCTGCACAGTTTGCAAGGCCGGTTGGGCAGCTGCTGAGATTGAAGCCGTCGACTCTACAGACGAGTTGACGGGCGGTTGGGCAGTGGCGGGGATCAAAGCCATCGGCTCGGCGGACAGTTCGGTGGGCGGTTGGGTCGACTCTGCGGACACGTTGTCGGGCGGTTGAGTAGCGGCTGGGATTGTGGGTGAGACCCGCAGGGGTGTGAACTGCAAGGGCTGGCAGGCACTCGTGAGCCAACGGTACGCGAGAATTCTAGGCTCGGGGTGCATCTTGAGCTCAGCTTCGATTGCCTCGGGGGGATCTGTCCACATGCTTGCCCACAGACGCATCATCAGGGTCGGCTTTGGTCGTTGAACAAGTTCGGTGAGGCCTGCGGAGGCTGCTTGTTGCGCAGAAGGGCGGCCAGGAGGAGTCTGCGGTGGTCGTGCAGACCTAGTAGCGCAGTCACGCCTGACTGTATGCGGAGCTTGCACGCGCCCTGCATGCGAAACAGAAGAAGTAGGGCGGCCACAAAGAGCAGAGAGAGGCGTGCGTTCTGCTTGGTCGACCTGCATCGGTTCAGCGGACCCAGAATCGTGGCTGCGACTGCCTGCATGCGGAGCTGGAGCATGTGCCGTATGCGCAGCATGGGAAACCGATGCATGTGAAGCACGAGCAGGAGCACCAGCAGGACTATGTTGAGCAGGAGCCCCAGCAGCAGGGGCTTGAGCAGGTGCTGTCCACCGGGCTTTCATTGCAGCCATATTGCGTCGTGTGACGGGGTCCAGGGGCGAGAAAAGCAACGAGAGCTCGGCAGCAGACACGCTCTTGCCGCTGGGGTGCCCAGGCATCTGAAAGCCAAAGTCGCTCTCCACGTCGTCTTCAAGCCTGGCATCAAGCTCCAGTTCTGGGCGCAACACGTTGCGTGCAGTGGGCATCAGCACGACACGGTCATCGTGGTTGTGCTTGACAAGGGAGAACTTGATTTGCTTCTTGTCGTCCTGGGGGAGGTTGCACATGTGATGGAAACACGCGTGCATGTGCTGAGCGGGGCGACAGGTCGTGCCGGCACG